TGACCAAGGAGCAATGTGCACGTGACCAAGGAGCAATGTGCACGTGACCAAGGAGCAATGTACACGTGACCAAGGAGCAATGTACACGTGACCTAGGATCGGTGACGTGAGGGGTGAAGTAGAGTTTAGTACTCATTGAGTCTCTCCTGTGCTATGAAGGTTTTTTTCGGATTCTCCAGTTTCGTTATTCCACAATGTCACAGATCAACTTCTAAATCATAATTGCTCTCAATGGGACCACTATGTGAAACTACTGCTAAATCTCATTTAAATCACATTTTTTATCACGTACATCTTAATCCCTTGGTTAGTTCTAGTTTACCTTGCATGATGCTAGTGAAGGAAAGTGTGTATTGTCCGATGAAATCCCTGCCAATAGGGTCTTCATCCCAAACAACGAACCGAACTAAAGCGATATYAGGGAAGCGTAGCAAGAACGTCATTGTTTCCTCCCACACTGGGTTAAATCCTGCAACGTCACAATACATTCACAGTAAGGAATTTAGTAAGGACACCTGATTAACATACTCATAATATACCTAAATGAACAGTGCTGCCGCAAACCAAACGTTTCAATGGGAAAAATCATCTAAATTTCCTGAATTTGATTTTTAAAAAAATGCATTGGGGTCTAGCTTGAGTTCAAACAACACCATATAAAGCATGCACGATGAATGAAATATGTTTTACCCAAGCTAGACCAGAATGCATCATATTCTCTACTGTCTATCCAGTTTGGGTACAAACAACACCATATAAGGCATGTGAACAATTTAAAACATACTTGTACCCAAGCTAGACCACAATGCAACATGTTCGCTATCTCAGAAAAAATCTATGGGCACTTATTTTAGCTTTATTTTTACGTCTTGCTAAAGTATTCAACAATAAATGACTGATAACTGGAAGTACAGTGGGAAGATAATAATGATATCAACTGGAAGTCATACCATTGTCTTCGATTGTCTTCGTACGATGCTTAGCGTTGTCAGCAGGAATCCCAATGATTTCTATCTCAACATATGGGTCAATAATCTGAAAAATAAAATAGGTGATAAGTGAGAAGAATTATGACAAAACATAGCGTGTTAATATACCCCTTGTGCGTGTGATGTCCAAGCATCTCAATCTGGGGGTCAAAWTWAAAGAATKCCCTTCTCTTGAGGATTGAACTCTTTATGATGTTACTATGTTCAATTGTTTTGACCCCGAGGTAGGGATTTAGTGCAAGGGGTCTATATACAGTTGAATCAAAGCCATTCCGAGGTTGAGGAGAAAACTGAGTCAATTTGGCATTGCAGTGCATTGTGGGATGCTTTAGGGGACAGATTCCCAAGATGGCGTCTACTTCGTCCCCTAAAACAACCCAGTTTTTTTCTCAACTTCGGAATGGCTAATTAGTAATGAAGTGTAAAACTMTGGTTACGCATATGTAATCCATACTTCTCCTCTATCGCCAAGGATACTATCTTTGGGTTTGGGTAACTGCTGTCCACTTATAACCTAAAAAATAAAACACGTATAAAAGTGCCTTGATAAGAATAGTGCTAGAAGACACATACACCTACTTGCAAGAACGTTGTCATACGATATTAGAACATTAGTAATTTAGTGAGAAAGGAAAACAATAAAAGACAAAAAAAAAAGTTCAGCTTCAGTGATCTTCTTTTGTTTTTTAATATAATTCCTATCCCACTAAATCACTAATGTTCTATTTTCGTATGACAACGTTCTTGCAAGTAGGTGTCTATAGGTTATATAGTAAATTAAATATATTTACAAATATAAATATATATATATATTATCTAGTAAAATATAGAACTTAGATGGTGGCAACTCGAAAGCCTTTATCTATTTTGGGCGCCACACACAAACCTTAATCTCTCCACATGTACTTTCTGTTAGCCAGTCCGAGGTTGAGAAAAAACTGGGTCRAGTGGGMATAGCAGTGCATTRTGGGACTGTTTWMGGRKRCGAAAYAGACGCCATCTTGGAAATATGKAAAACAGTCCMCACARTGCACTCGACCCAKTTWTTTCTCAACCTCSGAATTGYTAARGCATTTACACCTATCATTGATTCTTTATTAATTYATACTGAACTTTGTTAATATATATTTAATTATTTAACTACGTGTGAATAAACTGAAGTCTGACACAGTTTCTTGTACAATAGATGAGCGGAAGACAAGAGGTAAAACTTACCCTTATTTTGAGTGTTTTYGGAGTAACAGTTGCAACTTCCTTCCTCGACATTGGATCAAATCTTAAATCATCTGGGAAAAACAAGACAAGACATTATAACAATAAACGCYTTTCAAGAAAGAAAAAAAAGATAAAGAATGGTCGGAGAGGGATATGCCCCGTAGCGCAGCGCAGACCTCTGATCCACGCCATGGTTCATGCTCTAAGAGTAACCCGTGCACAAGGATACTGGATTGAGAAATGAGGGATTCCCGCGGGTCGCAGCGTAATTGAAGTGTTCCCTGGCGTCTTACCTCGAACCATTATGTCAGGCTTCAAGACGTAGCCACAGTTACCATTAGTTTTGAAGCGTCCTTTATTAATCTGTAACATGCGACCATCTGATTGGTAGTTTAGGGCAACTGTCAATCATAA